GCTGGTGCTGGTGCTGGTGCTGGTGCCGGTGCTGGTGCTGGTGCCGGTGCTGGTGCCGGTGCCGGTGCTGGTGCCGGTGCCGGTGCCGGTGGACGCATGCAGAAACGATCCGTTCGACATCTCAAGGTATGAGGCCTTCCCCTTCCACCTTGACGAGCTTGCTAGCTCGCTGCGCACTTGTGTCTATGCATTTCCAGGTCTTGAATTGACTGTCGATTTTGTCGCGATGATTTTTCCGTCTGCGCTTTCTGTGCACAGGTCGACAAGCGAGGCTTCTCGTCGTGAGTATTTGCCACGCTTCTCCAGCCTTTCGAGCTGTAGCTGACTAACACTTCCCCCTCCGGATAGCATTGACAACCCGGTTCTGAGGCAGCAGGCGATGGGAATGTCCGAAGGCGGTGCTGCCGCCAACGTCGCCAATGTCGCTGCCAAAGGTGGCAACACCGGCATGATTGTCAAGGGCGTGCTCGGACTCGGCGCGCTCGTCGGCACCGTGTTTGCTCTCGACCGCTACGCGCACCCTGAGCGTCCCAACACCACTCCGGACAACCCATATGGCCTGGCGCCTACCGGTATCTGCGACGAGTATTCACAGATGATCATCAAGGACTGGCGAGGTAGGCTGTGGAGCAAGTCGACCTACACGCGTCTCAAGATGAACCAGCTGCCGCCGCTGCACATGTGCAGCCAACAAGAGCTTGTCGACAATGGCGTGTCTTCCGATCCCGCCGGTGCTGGTGCTGACGGAGCTGCAGCCGCTGCTGGCGCGGGCGGTGTGCCCATGGCCAAGCGCAGCATTGCCGAGGCGCGAAAGGTAAGATGCTCCTCCCGCGTTCCTGTTGGTAAAAGTGCGGTGACTCATGGCGATTCTTGTTGCTCACCACAGGACGACCTCGCTGAGCTTGCAGCTATTGTCAAGCGCGACGTCAACAATGATCACACCGAGGATGCCGCCTCCGAGTCGTCTGTTGTGCTGGAGAAGAGGGCAGGAAGCGGAGGCCTGGCGGGCGTGGCAGGAATGGCGTTCCTGCCCTCGCTGGGCTGGTCTGGCGGACTGGCGATTGGCGCCACCGCGATCGTTACAGCAATGTACCTGCACCACGTCCACGAGGCCAAGCAGCAGGCCCTCCTTGCCGAGTGGAACAGCCAGTATCACTCTGCCGGCGATGCAGCCAGCTCGGTGGGCAACGCGATCAGCACGGGTGCCAACGGCCAGCTGTTCAACCCGATCACGGGCAACCTCGTTCTCGTCGACCCCAACACGGGCATGTACTACGACTCGGGCTCAGGAGAGCAGGTGAACCCCAAAACCGGCATGCCCTTCCGATACGGTGGCGGCTCAAGCTCCGACAGCAAGCCCAAGGCGACTGCGGCTCAGCAGGTTCCACAGCAGCTGCCGCTGAATGGCAATGGACAGATGCCCGCCGAATCGCCCGAGGTCCAGCAGGCTATGGCTCAGTGGAATGCCATGACCCCGCAGCAGCAGCAGCAGCTCATGCAGCAATACGGAGGTGCCGCTCAGCAGATCCTCAACTCGCCCGACCCAAATGCAGCGTTCCAGCAGTACACGAGCACCATCGCACAACAGACGCAGCTTCCCCAGCAGCAACAGTACGCTCAGCAGCAGCCACAGTACTTTAAGCAGCCGCAATATGCTCAGCAGCCTCAATATGCCGCCGGTGCCGGCGCGGGCGACGGCTCGGTGGGGCCCGGAGCAGCGCCTGTTATGTGATAGCACCGCCAGAACCATGCTCGTCTCGTTTAGTCTTGCACTTTTCTTTAGTTTCGCTTTCGCTTTCACTTCTGCTCCCTTCCGTCATTTCGTGACCTTTCCTTTGTCTCTAGTCCTCTCCTAGAAGACTGTCGTCATCGGTCCTCCATCGAGCCCCCAGCGTGTGGTTGAACGGCAGAGTTGCGCGGTGTTGGACGTGAGGGCGGGAAATTTTGCGGATGTTAGGCTGGGTCGTGTCGAACACATCCACGCAGAAAATCGCGTGTGGAGGAAAGGCTGTACGCCAACGCCAGGCGCGGTTCGCGTGAAGTGGGCCCGTGACAGGCGTTCGTGTTGCACTTTTTTCGCTCGCGGCCGCGCCCCCAGTCGCGAAGGAGCCCACTTGTCCAAAACTGCGCGTGGTCGGGCAGCGCGAGCAGGCAACGCCGTGCACACGAACGTAGGAGCCAGGCGCGGTCCAGTCGTGTCGGCGGCTCGTGTCGAGGCTGTCCCTGAGCAAGCCTGTGGTCGGAGCTGCAGGCGAGTCGAGGGCTCGACTTGAGACACGGCTGAGCCTTGCCTTCCGACCATTCATCACCGACCGCCTCAAGACCACCACCTCAAGACCTTCGATAGATCCAGAGCTCCACCACATCGACCCTGCTCCGTCTCAGTCACGCTTGCTGGAGCGCGCTCTCACCTATTCGTGCATTGCGGTCTCCACTGACAACTGTCGGAGGACTCTCAGAGCCGTGACTTGCTTAGACGCGCCGTGATTTTGCCAACATGATGCACGACCTTCCCACGCCAGCTCCGTCGTCGGACCCTCCGATGCCGGGCTCTTCGCCTGTCAAAGGAGGGAAGAGCGGCAAGGCACTCGTGGCTGCCAAGGATGCTGCCGCGACGCGTCCGTTTGCGCCTCTGGACCTCAACCTTGTCGGCGCTCGCGTCAAGACGTTCCAGGAGACGCGCGAGAAGGCCGGCGCCACTCCCCCGCCTTCGTCACCTCCCGCCTCGTCCGTGTTCCTCTCGTCGCCCGTCACGCAGCCGCGACAGCAAGAGCTCGGCTTCTCGCCCGTCAAGCAGCAGCGCGCCTTCACTCCGCGAACCCAGCCTAGTCGCGACAGCACGGTGGGTGCCCCGGGCGACCGCGCGCAGGAGCTCGGCAACCAGCTCCTCGGCCTGGTCCCGAACACGGAGCTGGACGCGGACACGGACGCGGTGCCCAACCTGCTCTTCGGAAGCAAGAGCGTCAGTCTCGTCATCGGACGTTCCAAGCCTTCTGGCGAACCTCACGCCATGGCTGCCCACGATGCCTCGCAGCAGTCGGCCGCAGGCGACATCCCGCCCTCGATGCAG